CCCCCGCGCCGCGAGGGTTTTGAGGAGGAGCCACTGATGGGAAGGGCAGAGGTAAGGATTGCGTCAGGGTGTGTGTGTGGCTTGTCCTCCCGCCCACCCATGGGGAAGGGTGCATGGGTCTGCTGGCGGGACACGGGCATGGGCTTTTGGCTGGGGGTTGCGTGCTGTCGGTGGTTGTACTAACTGCTACAGCAAGGCAAAGGCTCAGGAGAACCTGACTGCAGCTGCTGTTGCACCAAGGATTTACCACCGATGTTGAGACAAACATCGCCGGCTTTTCGCTCGCCTCCCAAACTTCTGCCTGTGACGTCTTTGGGGAGAGGGACAACAGGGAGGCAGTCAAACTGCCGGGGCTGAGCAGGTCCTATGGGGCATGCTCTGCCAGGTATGGGTTTCTCCTAGGCTTTATGGTGCTCCTATGGGGCTCTGGGCACCTGGAAGCCTTTCCTCATACGTTAGGGTCTGTTTCTCCCTGTGCACATCCCCTACTACCTGCTGAGCAGTCCTGCCCTTCGTAGCCTTCCTCGCAGACACAGAGACCGTCCCGGCAGACTCCGCGGCTGCTGCAGGCGTTGGGGCAGTGCAGCCACCCGCAGTCCTCCCCGGCGTAGCCCTCCTGGCAGACGCACGTGCCGTTGACGCAGTGGCCCTTCCCCGAGCAGTCGCGGGGGCACCGCAGCTGGGAGCAATCCTCCCCGGTGAAACCCTCCTCGCAGACGCACTCGCCGTCCACGACGCAGCTGCAGGACTCCAGGCTGAAGTTCCCATGGCCGCTGCACTGCGGGGTGTAATCCAGCTGCCCTGCAAGGACGCGGGACCAAGGGTCAGAGCCCACCAGGCGGGAGGTGGAAAAAGGGCAGCGTTTGCCCCGGGTCAGCCCGTCGATGGGTTGTGGGGAAGGGGAGGAAGATGTAGGGCAGGTAGGGGATGGTCCTTCCTCTGGTTGAGCACATCCAGCTCTGGGGAGATGGTGGCTTTAGGGCTGACAGGGGCGGAATTGGTGATATGGGCTCATGGTGGGGCTTGGTTAGGTCCCCAGGAGTTTATCTGTCCCCTCAGGAGCACTGGCCTCCATGGCTATGGGTGGTATCAGCCTTGTTGGGGTGCAGGTTCTCCCTTTGGTTTCTCTTCAGCTCAGTGCTCAGACGATGGGAACCTCCCTAGACCTTTTACTGGGAAAAAGCCTTCCCTGGCAAGCCCTCTGCACCAGCCATGAATCAGCAGGCTCCTGCTGTCTCCTCTCCACCCGCTGTTCCTCTTACAGGTGAGGGAACCTGGTCTGCTCACTATCTCTCCTACAAGAAGTAGGTATGTACCCAAAGCCATGATCTTCAACCCTGTCCTGGTGAGCCTGATTAAGACAGAGCCGTTGGCTTCGCACAAAGTATCAGGGGTTTGGGTGTGTTGGGGTTGTGGTAAAGTGGGGAAAGCACACAGCCACTGCGGCCACCACCTCCAGTGTCCCCCTTTACCCAGCAGCCTTGCACAGCACACTGGGGTGAGGAGGGATGCATGGGGATGAAGGCACCAGTTACTCTGGCACTGCCAGCGCCCCCCTCTTTTGGCCCTCAACGTGGACCCATTGCTCCAGCTAGGGGTTTAGCCCAGCCAGGCTAATTTGTCCTTGCAAATTCTTACTGCTTTTCTTCCTCCTATGCACCAAAGAAGAGCACAAATGCTTTCTGTGGTTCCTCTGACCCTTGTGAAGCCTCTGTGCCATGAAGACCACAAGCCGTGAAGACTTTGTGATTCCCCAACTAAGTTTTCCATCCCAGCTGAGCTACCTGAGCAGCTCTTCCCATGGTGGGTGCAGCAGATGCTCATGTAAAAGCGGTTCAACTACGTGCTGTACCAGAGAGACCAGTTTGTGCTACTTTGCAGGATGCTTCCCATCTAAACTGTGAATACTGGGAACGGCGATCAGGTTCTCTGCAGATCTCAGCCTCCAGTGAAGTTATCAAAAGAGGAGAGATGATGCTTGTCAGTGTGCTGGAAGAGAGCGGCTTTCCTTGGGGAAACGCCTTGGGCTGTGGGGTAGGGATCCTGATCTCCTTTGCAGTGCAGTGATTTGAAAGCAACTCTGGTAAAAAGAAATGAAATTACTCCGGTTTTAGCTCAGCGTGCATCTGGGATTGGAGTGGAGACTCCACCAAGCAATGAATGTTTAATGGGACAGTTTGTGTACGTTGCAAATAACCCATCAGAGTTCCAAATTAGTTCCTTTAAAACATATTTTTCCTATGGCGTTTCCTATGTGATATTAACCCTTGCTTTGCACACGCCGGTAGCACGTTTGTGTGTTTTCCATTTTGTCTTAATTATTAACGCAGCTGATGATGACGGTCACGTTGTGGGGGGACGTGGGCTGAGCCTGTGGCTGGAAACACGCTGACTTCCCCTGGCTGTGCAGGAGATGTCAGCCCGAGCCACCTCGCTTGTCCCGGTACCGGTTTCTCCCTCCCCGACCCACACACCCTTGGTCCCACTCTGTTGACCTGAGCGCGTGTCACTCCTGTTTCCTTCTAACGTGTCCTCAACACAGAGGAGTTGGGGTACCACTGGAAAAACCACACTCATAACTGCAAAACTTCATAAAAGGCAGTGGGCTTTGGGGACTAAAGGGTTGTTTGCAATTTTATTTCCTCCCTGTTCTTGTTGTTGGCCTGAAAAGCAGTTTTCCCCTAGAAAGATGTCCTGCATGGCTCTCCTCACTTGGTGGCTTTTTCCGGTGAGGAGCCCTGGTGCGTCGGAGCCCGGAGCAGGGCTGGGCTGCGTGAGGGACAGATGCCCTTCGGGACAGCTCCTCTTACCGACCTCCCCAAGGTGTAAGGAAAACCATCAGTGTGCCTTCTCTCACGCTATCGAAATGCAGCCCCTCGCCCAAACCTTTCCTAACCCATCTCATTTCAACGGCATGCTGCTTCCCTGGCTCTGCAGAACGGCCGCAGTGAAATGAAGGGCTGTCTTTGGCGGGGTAACCCTGGTAGGGGGTCTCGGAGAGCTTCACAAACCACACGTGTTGTTACTCAGATGAGGTATCCTGTTGATGGTTTTGTGCCTTTGTTACAGGTTTTATTTGCTTTTTTCATGGCAGCAGATGTTACTCCCTGTATTTTTTTATCATTTCTTTTTAAACTCAGCTTTTCGTACGCATTCACTCCTCCTACAGAGAAGATCAAGGGGCTGATTGCTGGCACTCACGGTGCCACCTTCAGCCCAGGGACAGCATAGGAGACCAGCAGCTACGTCTCTCCTCCCTGTCCCACGAGCAGCGGCAGATCTCTAACAGCATTGCACGGCGTGCAGGCTTGGGAGATCACCTTGCTCACCCCTTATCAGCTGTAATTTTATCGGTAACAGGGCTCTAGCTCTGGCCATTACAGGGTTTCTGCAGCAGGGCATGAGGACTCAAGTGACCATATCCCTCCCTGGTGCTTTCCTGCTTTGGAGGATCTAAGCCAAGCTTTTCGCTCAAAGCCACAGCCACACCATAGCTAAGCATAGGTTTTCCTCAGTCGCCACTCTGAGTGGCATCACCAGCTTTGTGTTTATTCCTCCTGTCTTTTGCTTGAGCCCTCAGTCCCCAGCAAGAGCTAACAGGATGGCATTACTACCTGTGGCTGCATTTTCTTGGCAGCAATTGGAGTTGCATTGGTCCCGCAGCATGGAGACCTCCCTCTCCAGCATCTCAATCCTGCTCAGCAGCTCCTGCAGGGATGGGAGGGAGGTGGAGCACTTGAAGGCCTGCTTGGGGAAGTTTATCCTGTGGGTGAAGGTGACCTGGCTCTCGCTGTCGGAGGTCTGCTCTGCATATTCTGCCAGACGGTCGTCTTCTGAACTCACCTCCTCGGCCGAAGACTTGAACATGGACGAGCAGCAGCTGTCCAGAGGGATGTTGATGTTGTAGATGTGGTGGAAGACCATGGGCTGCTCTTTAATGGGTGGGCTGCAATTGGCAAGGCCACCCTCCTCATCCACCGCTGACCTCTCAGCTGGCTCTGTTGTCACCTCCAGCCGGCACTCAAAAGGTTTGAGGACAGCGCCCAGCAGAAGCAAGTTGAAGCTGATGAGCACGTTCCTCAGGACTGGGTTTTCACTATCAGTCCCCATTTTCTTGGGAGAGGGAAGAGTCGTCTAAGCCAGCCTTGATCAGCCAAGCTTTGGGAGGACCTGGGGACACAGAAGAAAAACAGCATGTTTGGTGTTAGCCCTGAAACTGTGCTCAGCATAGAGAGGTAAGTGCTTCTGGGCAAAGTCATCCAGAGAGATACAGGGCCAACTTGACACCCACACAGTTCTGCTGGCTTTGGTAGAGCCTAAATCAACCCTGAGTGGAGACCATGGCTGGGGGGGAGACCCCGCCATAGCCCTTGAGCAGTGACAGAGGCAGATTCTTGTTGCTATTTTTTTTTTTTTTTTGAAGGAAACGCTTAATCTGTTGCTAACAAAGCATCGAATATGGGTGTGTTCAGCAGAAACACCCTGTATGGGATCTGCTTTCAATGCCACATCAGTACAGCATGTAGGGTCCAAAGGGTTAATGCATGGGTGACAGTGACACATCCCTGCGCTCTCCTTCCTTGTCTGCTGTGCCCCAGGAGCTGTGCCCAGGGTTGCTAAGCTTCCTCCAGTAGCTATAGGAACAGCAGCCTCGATGTTAAACACCGTTAAACTACACCACGCAGGCTCCAGCTTGTTCAGGTCGATGCTCCGAGCAGACAAACCCCTCCCATTAAAGTGGCTTCACCTCCTGCCCGCGCTCTGGATTATGGGTTAAGCTTGCCTTGATTTGGAACAGCACAACTTCTCGTTCTGGTGCTGTTCACGAGCCCCTGGGTGGTCATCCAACCTCCGAGGACCACAATTATCCCTGGCCTAAAATCACCAGTGCCAGCCCAGTTGTGCTGGCCGTGGATTCGCACCCATTACTCTTGTCAGGACTGTTGTTTGCTGACCAATACCCAACTCCAACTGATTTGCTGTGAGGAGTCACTGCCTGCTCTGTCAGAGGACAGTGCTAACGGGCAGGTGAGGCTGTGTCTACAACGTCGTTGCTCCCAAAGATACCGTTTGCCTTGCGTTTCCTTTTCAGGAGATAGCTGACCTGCAGTCCAAGAGAGATTGCTAGAGCATGGCTGCTTGGAGGGCATGTAGTGCTGTGGTTAGAGGCTCTCAGCTGAGCCCTTGCACTGCTTTGGTGTCAGGACAGTTAATTAAAGATTTCCAGCTAATAGCTGCAAATGCCTGATTGGATGTCTTGCAGCATGTTAGGAGGGAAGGTAAATCACTGTGTTCATGGCTCCCTATCTGTATTGGGTTTGTGGGACCTGGGCTGATGAACACTGGAGATCTGCTTTGCGGTTCTTTCTGCACCAGCAGTGTGAAAGATGCCCCAGGCACCTTGAATCTGGTCAACACGCTCTTTACAGTGCTGGTGGAAAGGTGCGAAGGGCTGAGGACCTCCTCGCTGCATCACCAGAAACTTTCCCAAAGCTCCAAGAACTTGTGGGGTTTAGGAATTATCCAAAGCCAGGACATGGCTCTTGCAGCGTCCAGCCTTAATAATAACTCTATGTTTAGTACCATAAAGGCCATGCCTCCCCCCTTCTCCTACTGCTAAATGAAAATATATGTTTACTGGTTACTCTCCTACAATACCATGCTACTCCAGAAAACATCACTATTCAGCCGCCTCGCAGCATGCACAGGGTTATTATCCCGTATTACCACAACGTTCCTGCTGCACTTTTCTCCTCAGCTCCTTGCTTAATGCCAGCTTCTCGTGAGCAGGCACCTGGGACTCCTTTGGTAGGCTCTCTTTTTTTTTTTCTGCGTGGTTTTAGGGAAAGCAAGAAAAATCGAAATAACTCTGCAGTGGGGTGACCTCCTCCTCCTTCCCCCTGGCTCCTGTGGTGGCTGTGGGCATGCTTGCAAAAGAGGGACAGGAGGGCAGTGGAGATGACAATGGGAGGGAGTGAGAGGGGTGGGATCGATGCTCCTTAAGCGGTGATTTGGGGCCGCACACTCCTACCCCGACCCCTTCAAATCCTCCTCTGCCTTCTGGGCTCACCGGCGGCTCCTGGGTGGCCCTGGCTGACCCACGGAGAGACTTCTTGTCCCTGTGGAATGGGGCAGGGACTAATTAGCGCTGGCTGCCTTTGATTGACTCGCTGGCATTCAAGGCTAACTACCCGCTCCTTGGCCTCTTGCTTGGCTTTTCTGTGTGTGCTGGGAGTGGAAGTAATTGTGGCTGTGAGCCAGCTGCGCTGAGCCGGGTCAGAGCTTCAAAGCAAGACTCCTTGCAGGACTGCAGGAGCAGCTTCGACGTGGGGAGGTGAAATCCTCCCCCTCCCCGCTCTTCAGATCCAGCCTGGCTCAACAGAGCCTGTTTACGAGGGGTGGGGGGAGGCGGGTTCCAGTTGGGTGCAGGGACGAGCGAGTGGGAGACGGGTCGGTGGATAAAACGGGGCGAGCAGATGCACGGCGGAGACAACCTGCTAATGACAGCGAGGAGGCTGGGTGGTTAACGACTCTCTAACCCACAGACTGAAAACCATTCATCTGCCGCCAGGCTCATTGATCTGAGTCTCTTTATCGGTGGATTCATCGCGGCAGACTCCGGCGGGATGCTGCCCAGCTCTTGTTTCTGAGCAGCAAGCCAGCATCCCCCTCCAGCCCGGCTCAAGGAGGGGGGCCTTGGGCAAGAGGTGATGCTGTGCAGGTGGTGGCATCCTCACGGCACAGCGCTAAGTGAGCTTTGTCTTTTCTATTACTAGAAATGGGATCGTTGAAGGAAAATAAAGAAGAAAAAGTATTCCTGCCTCCACTGAATGCTCGGTCAGGCTGAATGCCACCTCTTTGCTGTGACATCACCCCAGTTCAGGATGTCCCCAGCTCAAACCAGGCTGAATCCACGGGGTCCTGCAGAGCAGGAGGATGCTCCTTGGTGTCCACCAACCCACAGCAGACCGTTTGAGCCATAAATCCCTATTAATCCTTGGCTTCTTTCTGGAGGCTTGGGCTGACAGCTCTGAAGCTCTGCCAGATCTGTGGATGAGTTCCCAGGGTCTGTCGTCTCCATTCCCTATCTGGTCCTGCATTGTTTCCTGCTCCTCCTGTCCATGATTTGCTTTTTCCTGATGGACTCCATCACCGTGAGCTCAGCTGGGGTGGGTTAATGCCGGGATTTGGCTGAAAGTGCTCTGGAGCTGTGTCTGTGGTCTGACAGCTTGAGGCTTGTCTGCTGGGGAAGAGAAGTCTCTTTAATGTTCCTGCTTCAGGTTCCTCACCCTCCTGTCCTCCCAGTGCTTCCCAGTCCCATGGGCAGTGACAAAACCATTAGAAACCATTGACTGAGCAAACAGATCCAGGACTATGTATTTTTTTTACTTCTCACTGTAAGAGGAAAAAGAGTTAATTTCTGTGGCCGTTTCACACGTAGAATCAGTTGCATTAGGGCAAATTTATCTGGGGTGCTCTTTCGTCTATTTTTGTTTCCTTTCTCCTTCACTGCCACCAAGCTCAGATAAAAGTCCAAGCTAGTGGTGTTCCCGGTGGCTTTGGTCCCTCTGTTCCTGGAGGTGGCCTTGGAAAAGCTCCTGGCTGGGGCAGCGAAGGCAGATTTCAGCCTGGCGCTTTCCCGGCATCCGACAGTGATGTCTTCTCCCTTGCTTTCCACCGGGCTGGGTCAATGCCTCTCCATCTGCCCGCACGCAGGGCAGGACAGTTGATCTCCAGTTGCCTCTGGCACAGACAAACTTGAGGCTGCTGCTTTATTTTAACAGAGCTGGTTTCCCTTGATTTGCTTTGCTTTGTTTTTTTTTTCCTACAATTCCCCAGAAACACGGGTGTTTGAATTAAAGTTCAAATTAAAGAGTTATTAAAGTTAATTAAGAAGTCTGGCAGGCACTGAGCTCTCGGCTCCAAAGCATTTCAACTTTGGGGAGCTGTGAAATAATCAATCTGCTGCCGTTTCTGTGTGGTGCTCAATAAAAAAACCACACAATATAAAACTGAGAAAAATATTTGAGGTCTTTTGCCAAACATCTACCACAGCAAAGCGCTCTCTCCCTCCCGAATGGCCTCTCTCCATCCAGGATTAGTGTCTTACAGGCCAGCGAAGGAAGAAACAGAAAAACCCTATTAAATCCACAGCGCATCCACCCTAATTATATATTTTCAGCTATTTTTATGTTTTGCTGATGAGCTGTGTCTCTGCGAGTGGCTCGGGGCTGGGAATGCAGAAGGGAACCTGCGCGTGGTGATGCTGGGAGCAGCTGTGCCGGGAAAGGCATGAGCGGGGTGGCAGCGGCTTTGGGGGGCATCATCACCCAGAGATGCAGCGCCGTGTCCCCCGGCAGCATCCACACCCCCTTTTCTTATTGCTCAGCAATATCAACGTGGCAAATGTAAACTGTGCCCCGGGGGCTGCTGCGGGCTGGGTGCAGGGACAACAGATCTGCATGATGGGGATGACGCCAGCAGTTTTATCTCCAGCATTTCGCTGGAGATAATTTAGTATTTGGTTAGTTGAACAAAGTTTCTGTTTTCATGCCAGTTTTGGTGAATTTCTTGGGTTAAAAAAAACCCCAATGCTGCCTGAAAGACGCTTGAAAAATTCTAGTGTTTGTTTCTCCAGACAGATAGTGTGTATTGAAGTGTTTTTAAAATCAGTAAAGGTGTGAAAACGAAGTGGATGTTTTGTTCTCATTGAGAAACGCTTTAATCTACCCAGACCCAATAGATGTATGTGTGTAAACATACATATTTATATGTATTTATTGCGTTCTCTTTTCCTGAACACCAGATAAAGCACAAGCCCTCCTTTTCGGTGCAGATGGCAAACTGGAAAATCAGTGGGAGCTCAGACCAGGACTCATCCTTAACGCCGACCAACAAACCATCAAGAAACGGAGCTTGCTGCCTGCTTCCTCGGCGCAGCAGGAGCGGGCAGGTATTAGCTAACACTCAGCGGTCCCCGAGCCGTCTTGGGGCTGGCTGATTGCAGCTGTCGTGTTCCCTGCTGAAGCTCGGCTGGCAGGAGCCAGACCGCTGCGATGGATTTGCTCCCCACTGCTGCTAATGGTGGGAGCAAGCCCAGAACATGGTTGTGCGTGAAGCAGGCAGGAAGCCTCCAAGTCTATTATTTGGGCTTTTATGTTGAAAAGTGT